GAGGGAGAGGGGGAGGGCACAAGCCAGGAAGTAGAGCATCAATTAAGGACAGTGTCCCAGATGGAAAAGTGAAATTCCCACAATGCATCACGTCTCCATCACATTCTGTCCTGTTTCTGACTTGACGTGAACCAGTTTATATCTGCTGACACCGCACTTCCATGTTACAACCTTTTAGGGGGCGCTGTTGTTCACTGGTCACCACAGTGTCCACCAGTCCTCACACGATGTTCCAGTGCTGAACATAATGTTAAAAAGAAGTCCCTAAAACTAAGTTATACGTATGCAGACACACACACTCACACACACTTACACACACACACTCACAGACTAAACTAAACTCATTTTGGACGCCATATTTATTTCCAGAATGACCCAGGAGAATTCCCCAATGACCCAACGAAGGAAACGGACAGCAGCCAATCAGAGCCGGGCTGAGGCGGTCTGTGTAGACCTTCGTCATCCTGCTGTTGTTGACGGATGCTGCAACAGGACAAACTTCGGGTTTCGGCGTCACCGACACCAAAGTGACAAGTAGGAGTTAGACTAAATAAACATGGAGGAGGAGGTGGTGATGCGGACGGACGGAGGAGAGATGAATTGAATCATGTAGGAGAGAGTTTGGGACGAGGAACCAGGTGAGGGGCGGGGGTGAGGAGTCCACCCACACCAGTCTTATCGCGGCCAACCCCCCCTCTCCTCCCCCTCGTTTTTCTTCCTCCTCTGACTCCCTCTTTGTCCCATCGCTCCTCTCCCCCGTCTCCCTTCCTCTCTCTGTCCTTCCCATCTTGTTTCTCTCTTTTCCTCCCCCCTCTCCCTCTCCTCCTCACCCCTGGCTGTTCAACACTCCTGCTCAAACCTTTCACAGTAAAAGCACATTTTCATGACGTGATAACCATGACGTCATTGCCCCCCCCACCCCCCCCCATGTTACCCTTCTCCTCACTGTTGATTCTACTGTTATATATATTTGTGTTCAGATTTTGTTTGTGTTCCTGTAATACTTGGAGAAATACCACTGACCTTGTGTACTGTAGTAGAAGTACTGACCTTGTGTACTGTAGTAGAAGTACTGACCTTGTGTAACCTTGTGTACTGTAGTAGTAGTAGAAGTACTGACCTTGTGTACTGTAGTAGAAGTACTGACCTTGTGTACTGTAGTAGAAGTACTGACCTTGTGTACTGTAGTAGAAGTACTGTGTGACTTTTCTTAACCTTCTGGGGCTTTTAATTTGAAAACCATGTCCAACTGTCAGACACGGTCACATGACTGTGGGGGGGGGGGGGGGGGGGGGGGGGGGCCCCGAGTGGATTAGCACTGGAGAGCGGTGGGTGTGGGGCGCGGGGCGGCGGGGCGGGCGGGGGGGGGGTCAGCTCCTAATGAGTATTCCAGCTGCAGACGACTGCAGCTCCTCTTCCTCCAACACAGTAAAGAACAAATACAGAGTCAGCATCAGCATCAGCATCAGCATCAGCATCAGCAGGGACATCTTTACCTGACACTGGTGTCTTCAGCGCCACCTCAGGACAAAACATGCAAACGTTCTGACACATTTAGTCATTTTTAACCTCTTTAATGAAGAGAGAGAGAGATTTAGGATTTTATTACAAAAAGTTTCACTGGACCAACGTCAGTCAGACTGTCTGTCTGTCAGTGCGTAAGCC